TATACATTGAATGATTTTCTTAATACAAATACGGGATCTAGCCAAAAGCTACTGGGTTCCCGGGAACCCATACTCACACCTTTAGATTCGCCCCTGTCTCCAACAACTGGTGCCACTACTCTCGGACAATCATTCAGGATCACTCCTCCCTCCAGCAACCATTCATGCATTACTCCTTTCTGGAATTGTTCAAGCGTCGCTCCTCGCTCTATGATCGTTCAAACACAGTTCAGCTCCAGTGATCTTTCTGGTGTCACTAACTCTCCAGTGACCAATGCTGCACATTTACGCGACTGACACGATTCTTTAAGCCTTGATTTTTCAGTCATTATCCTGACAATTCAAGTTCTGCTAATAATATCCTGGAGATTTGCAACACCGTATCTCTTTTCTTAAGCAACATTTGAGTTTGTCACAACATACACTATATCAAAGCATCCTTTTCACTAAACATGCATATATGCCAACTAAAAAGATAAAAGTTCTAAATCTGAGTACTCACATTCAAGAACTGTTCCGAAAACAATGTTCTTGTTATGAAGCTGAACAAGTTCCTGTCTAGTGGTAATCAAGAACTTCACACTATGATAATTGGAATTGAGTTTAAGATCATCATGATCATTCGGATATAGGCAAAGAAATTATGCCAAGGGCTAGAATCTTCCAAACAAAAGCTTTAGATTCAACTGTCTCAGTATTCTTAACCAACTCCAAATGGTGGGTTCACACATGAACACTCTTTTGATTATGGTGGTGGGGTGACTAAGGAAGTTGAAATCATGGAGGTGGGAAAAGAGTCATGGAGAGGAAGAGAAGTGAGAAGCGACTAACATGTGGTTTGCAGGGAAAAAGGGAGTAGGTTGACAGTGGTGATAAGGAGAAGAAAGGAGGAGGGTGGCAGAGCAAACCATGTTGATGACGGTGCATTTTGGTGGGGGACTAATGATAGAGAATGAGAGGATAGATTATTTGTTGAGAGTGAGGGCCACAAAAAAGAGTGTAGGTGCAGACTACATGTTGAGACTTCCAATGAGCATTTTGGAAGCAGAAGTCTGTTGGTGTATGATATGGATGACGTGACCAACACAATACAAGATGAAGTCCCTTGGTGTATGATATTTGAGGTCGATATTGTGCTAATTGACAACAGCGAGGGTATCAACGAAAAGCTTGAATTATGGAAAACCACTCTAGAGAGTAAGGGTCTTAGGAAGAGTAGAAGTAAGACTGAATATATGCACTGCAAGTTTAGTCAACATGCAAAAAGTGAAATTGAGGTGATATTAGATAGGATTATGGTGCCTAAATGCAAAAAATTAAGATATATAGGCTCATTATTCCAGGAGAATGGAAATACAAAATGAATATGTTACACATGGAATCAAATCGGATGGTCGAAATGGAGAAGCATTATAGGAGTGCTATGCGATAGAAGGAAGCCTAACAAAGTGAGGTAAGTCCTACAGAACAACTATAAAACCAACAATGCTATATGAGAGTGAATGTTGGGCCACTAAAGTTCAACACATCCGCAAGATGAAAATCGTAGAGATGCATATTCTAAGATAGATGTGTGATCATACAAGATTAGAAATAATCACATCCGCGAGAAAGTTCAAGTAGCACATATCGAGGATAAAATGAAGGAAGGTCAGTTGATATGGTTTGATCATGGGGATCCATGCAACTTAGCAAAAGAAAGGGCACAATGGAAGAAAAGATCTATATAGGCGGTACATATTAGTAAAGAACATGTTTTAAACATTAGCACTTTACTATAAGTCTTATGCTTTCTATGAGTGGTTTAGCCTTTCAAAGTTTTATATTTTTAGAAAATATACATAACTTCTAATACTTTTTATTTGCACAATATTGACATGCGGTAATTTAAATGGAGTAACGTGGTCAGTGAAGATTCATATAACCGACTCCAACTTGTTTGGGACTGAGGGGTAGTTGCTGTTGTTGTTGTTGTTAAGTGTAAGCAACTTAATTTCTTTCAATTGTGTAATGCAATTCTAATTTTGTGGTGGATGCATAAGGGACCTCAAAGCGGTTCCTATATGTTTTTCTTTTTTCTCCTCCCATCTCCACTGCATTCAAGTCACCTATTTAGCCTTGAAAATAGACCCTGCTTCCCATGTTTCCCTACTCCCTATGCTTAAAGCTTCCTAAGGTATAATCCATCACCAATGCCCTTATACCTAATGTTTCTTACCTTTTCATCATATCATTTTACTGGAACCTAGTAGTTACCACAACTCATCCAACATTTGATTCCCCTTTACATAGCGGAGTTTGAATTTAGAACAAACAAGGAGCATTTGCCCATACTGGCTCAAGAACGAGCACTCAGGTGACGACATTCTTTTACTTAATTATCAGGAATAGAGAGTAATGATGTCTCATAAACTAACAATCAGACTAAAAGAAAACAATCTAGATAGATCTGAATATTATTCATAAATTGGCAGTAGCTCAACAATTAAGAAGCACAGAAAGACCAACCAGTGTTGAATACAAACTCGGAATTCCTTGATTGGAAAGTCTCCACAACCTTCAATGTATTTCGAAATTTTTCCCCAAGCCGTCCAAGAAGAGAAGCAAGTTCAGCATCTTCAGCGGTTGACTGCGATTTGAGCTGAAGAACACCAGAGAAGGATGAAATATATACAGAAATTTTTTATCTTTGCTCAACCCTGTGTGAGGAATTCAAGTAAGTAAAGAAAAAATCATATTTTTCGGGAATGAAGCACGCCTTGAGACAGAGGGGTTAGAACTAACTAAGCCAAAAACAAATGACATCACTAGCAGTCAACTGAGGCCTTCTCAGAAAAGCTAAAACTCAAGTTCTAACAACTGTATATCTCACCACTGGTGGCCAGTTGGAGCTTTCCGATAGGAAAAGTATTTCTTCAATCTGTTCTCGATTCTTCCACAAATTCTCATCAACTTTGTGAGGAGGGGGGCTCTCTGCTTCACGGACTAATGAACTTTCTCCTGTCAAATCAAATCGAATGAGAGTTGCCTCACAAGTGGAGTTCACAAACAGATAAAGAAATTCAGGGCTGCTTTTATTAACATAATCTCATTCTCATTTCAGTATCTGCAAGTTAGTAAGTAGACAACATCAATCAGGGAAAACGCTTTTCAGCTAATCCTCCATAACATAAATCACGGAAAATACTAAGAAAATTACTGAGAGAATTAATAAGAGAGTACTGAAAATAAAACGAGATGAAATATAATATGTCATACTAGGGGCCAACTTAGAGATTGCAGCATTAAATCAGATTCTTAATTGACCATCCACTACTTCCAACAATGAGGTCAGAATCACATATTCGTAGCTGTTCCGCCTGAATGAAGTTTGCCACGCGTCAATTTTATGATTAGTAAATGCAACATGCACAGTTCTCTTTATCTTTTAAGGTATTAGATAGTTATGTCCTAATCCTATATGTAGTAGGAGTAGAATATGTCCTAGTCTCACATGTAGTAGGAGAATAATATGTCCTAATCCCATATGCAGTAGGAGTAGAAGATGTATTATATATAGGGCTCATTGTATCATTGTTAATAATAGATTTTTCTCCCGTGCATTCTCACATGGTATCAGAGCTTTAGTGAGAAAATTATCGTTGTGTGTCATTCCAGCGACATCCGGGAAGAAAGATCTCGTCGCCCTGCAATTTTCTAGCAACTTCGTATTGTTCCCAGGGTTCATCATTGCTACAGTGGTATTGTGCATATACCAGTATCACCATCGGATCCGAAACCTTTGTGCGACCAAACCCCAAAAATTCCAGTCCCATCGGAACAGAAAAGTCGGTCACCGTGCGTCTTTCCGATTGACGACTCAAGATTGATTTGCGTTATCTCCTACTTACTCTCCTCGTTGATAAGTATTATGCGAAAACCAACACTACCATCTTATTCGTAAACAGACAATTGCTCAGGCAAAAAGTCCCTCACGCGCCTCCACACGCCGCCAGAACTAGGGTTCCGGCGAGCTACAACAATTTTTTCCGGCGCATATGAGCCATTCCGGCCACTTTTTGACAAAGCTTCTTCAGGGAAACTTACTCGTCCAGTGATTCCGAGCCTACCCATATAAATTACATCAAATTCTGACAATTTTTATTTTTTTTCCGGCGTAAACCATGATTTCCCATCGTGAATAGTAATTTCTAGAAAGTTTCTTTATTTCTGGTGGTGTTTTAGAACCTATTTTATAGTATGAAATTCGGCTTAGTCTCACTATTTTCAAATTTTTCCGGCGACTTTTCGGTCAACTTTTATTTATCAGCAACAACCTGATTTTGTTGCTCAAGGGGAGTCTATTGCCTTGTATGTCGAATGACCAGCTTGCAAATATTTTTACCAAGTCCCTCGCTGGTCCTCCTATTAGTTACATTATGTAACAAGCTCGGTATGTATGATTTGTATGCACCGGATTAAAGGGGAGTGTTAGATAGTTATGTGTAAATAGTCCTAATCCCATATGCAGTAGGAGTAGAATATGTCCTAGTCTCATATATAGTAGGAGAAGAATATGTCCTAATCTCATAGGAGTCGAAGATGTATTATATATACGGCTCATTGTATCATTGTTAATAATAGATTTTTCTCCTGTGCATTCTCACATAAGGGATTATATTTTTCAATGTTAACTGCCATATATTAATATTAATCAATGTTAAGTGAATAGCACTTTTTTTAAGTCAGTAAGTGAATAGCTCTTGTAAATATCACTATCCTCGCAATCCTCTATCAGAATATTGTTGCTAATCGTGTCTCAGACAAGGTTAGCCAGGCTATGCAGTAATCCTGAATTTAGCACATCTTCAAACATGCTTAGTATTAGCTAAAAGCACTTGAGACACTTCAAGGAATTCCATGCTATTGGTAATGTTTTAGCTGTATCACTATGTCGTGAAATCTGAGAACAACAGATGTGGATGGAAATACTTTAACTTCTAATAAACAAACCACAAAGACCATTCAAGTGGTCTCCCACGGAGATAAGCCTCAAGAGGGCATGGCATCCACTAAGTTTGCTTGCCTATTTGAGAACCAGCTTAAAGGTTCTACATCAGTGGTTAACATGAAACAAAGGCAAAGTTTAAGTGGCTGCACTAATCAAGTCACCGCATGTGTTCAACACAAACAAAATACTTCCGAAGATAACCAATAACCTGGTCTCACATTCCAGACCAGCCTCTCAACCCACGCTCCGAAAGAAGGCTCTCAACATACCTCACATGTGGAATAAGAAGCGTTGAATTAAGTGGCGGAGGCGGGATTTATTCAAAGAACAAAAAAAAATACACAATGCAATATATACACATCAAATATAAGCCAAGGGTTATCATCATATGATATATACACATAAAAAAAATGGCCTTATATACACAACCTAATTTTCCAGCGAAAGGGATTCGGGCCAACCGCCTAGCTCCACCTATGGTTGAATTAAAAACCAAATTATTCAGTAAAATACAACATTCTTCAGAGCAATGTACTCCTTGTTGCATGTGTTCGAGGCTTCCAGCCACCTCAAACCAAGGAGCAAGTGGGTTCCATTACACATTCTCATTCTAAAGGTCCACTATATCCTTGGGCATAACTCTCTCTATGCAATATGTATCAAAGACCTTTTTTCCTAATGTATTAACACTTTCAGTCCAATTTGTTCATGAGTTCGATATCAATAGTTGTGAATAGACGCCCAGTTTCCATTTGAATTTAATCCAATATATGATGATTCTATTGCACTACTATTAACTTCATAAGAGTGTAAATTTGACGAAAAAGATTACCTTCGGTCAAAGGAGAATCCTCGTGCAGATCATTAGCCATGGAATGAATTTGATCAGAAAGACGAGAAACATCTTCAGAGAGAGGGGTAAATGGGTACTTATCATAATAAGAAGCCAAAAATGCTCTTGTTATAGGCATCAGCCCCTCCGTTGACGCCATGTTGTATAGTTATATGACTAAATAAACAGTTCAGAGAAAGGGATCAAACAATTGACAACTGAAGTTTCGGTCAGTAGAATCTGAGAGCCGATCGCAACTCAGGGAACTATAAGGAAGAAGAGGGAGTGGGGCAATCGGCGTAAAGGAATTTTATAAGAAGGAATAATTCTGTTGGAATTAATGCTTTTGTTTCCCAATTGAAAAGGAGTTCTACCGTAAGTGAAACCAAAAGCGACGGAGTATGTTTTTTTTTTTTTTTTCCTGGGGGGGGGGGGGGGGGCTATAAACCGACACATTACCGAGCAGGACAACATTTACACGTATTGACCTCATTGGTTTGGTACGAGGAGGTAAACTGTTTTTTTTTGGTATTTGGTTATTTTGTATATAATTTTTTTTTTTACTCATAATGAAACACTATAAATCATTTTGATAGAAATTATTTCTAATAAAAATTAATTTTCGTCATAATCAATTACATGTATATTATGCTATTTTGCAAAACAACAACAACAACAACAACAACGACCCAGTATAATCCCACAAGTGGGGTCTGGGGAGGGTAATATGTACGCAGACCTTACCCCTACCCCGAAGGGTAGAGAGGCTGTTTCCAGGAGACCCTCGGCTCAAAAAATTTTGCAAAACAACTCTAACATAAATATTTATACACATTTACCTAGTCAAAACTCATAGTATTACGTATGCGTGTAGGGTAAAATTGGTTCATATTAAATACTTAAATAATAGACCGACACGTGGAACAAAAGATAGATGGAAGACGAAGCAAGTGTGAACCAAGGCCGAGAACAGCGGCTTCGGTTGGCACCGGGCAGACCCCGTATTGAACATTGCTAACGAGGACAAACGAATATTTATCACCCAATAATATTCAATGAAGAATATTCCTCAGTGTTAAATACATAATAATCCGTTACAGAGAATTTTGGCATTCATAGCTTGTCGTTATGTATTCATCAATGGTCGCATAATTGTTATTTAAGAGGGGTTTGATCCTAGGACCTTATTCCCTAAGTGTAGCTATAAATACTGACTTCAACAGCCATCGTAAGACACGAAAATTCTGACAAACTTATGTTACACATTATTCTAAGCTCAATAATACTTTATTTCAGTTTATTGATATTCTTATGGTTGTCTTCGGAAGCCTTGCTCCCGGCACCAAGTTGTTTGTTGTGTTATCTCGATTTCAATGTTAAGTCTTGCATTTTATTTAATTTATTTATTATTTTGAGATCAAATAGATTCCCTTGTCTATAAAACCACGTTATAAATTTAACTGTACCGTTTTACGATAAATAGTTTGACATTCATCGTGGAGCTTAGACAGATGCGTAATTGAGTTGATCCTTGCACCTATTACTAATATGTTTTATTCTTTGTTTCTTAACAAGAAATTCGTAAAAGATGGCAGATAACGATGTCAACATCGCACAAAACGTTGAGGCACAAAGAAATCCTCCTCAATACGAAGATTCGATCAGTGACACCCGCAATGAGGAGGATATAGCCACGCGGGTCCATGGCGGGCAATATCCACGACATGTATGTGAGACGACTTCTAATGACGCCGAAGACGAGCACGTTGCGAAACAGTAAGGATCTTGAGAGAACAACAAAAGGACATTATAGGCCATCTCTTACGGCAAGACTAGGCCATAACAGAATTGAGGCAAGCGTTGACGGGTGCTTCCAACAATGCGAATGGAAGAGGTTCAGTTCCTCCCGGTGCTCCTGCAAATCAAACAGTGCAAAGGGTTGATAACAACACCCTGAGGGGTAAGGTCGACTTTGACGGGGCCGGGGGAATGGCGGTGGATCTAGTAACAATAACGGGAATGATCCCTTTAAAACCAAGCTCATGCTGTTTATAAGGGAAATAAACGCCCGAATGGACTAAATTTCGGGTACACAACAAGTGTTGAAAGGATGGGACTCAAATAAATACACCCAGCTGACGTTCAAAATGAGCACGACACTAGAGTTAATCCTAAAGCAGTTCAAAATGCCAGACGTACCAAAATATGATGGGACTTTGGATCCTCAGGAGCACATCACCATCCACACAATGGCGGTGAAGGGAACGACTTAGCTCCGCACGAGATTGAGTCAGTCCTACTAAAGAATATCGGGGAAACCATCATGAAGGGAGCCCTGACATAGTATTCACTTTTACCTGAACGTTCAATAGATTCCTTTGAGATACTCATAGATTCTTTCATCAAGGCCCATGTCGGGGCCAGGAAGTTACAGGCCTGAAAGGCCGACATATTCAGAATTGTGTAAGGAGAGTCTGAATTACTGCAAGAGTTCATGACCAGGTTTCATAAGGAAATGATGTTGTTACCGGTCGTGCCATATGAATGGGCAGCTGAGGTATTTACTAAGGGGTTGAACCTTAAAACTGAAAATTGAAAGAAAGCATGCTCGAGTTCCAGGCAACTATATGGGCAGATGTCCCCAATCGATATGAATCAGAGATAAGAATATAAGACGGTCAACTCGGTTTCCCGGCATCAACCAAGGGTCGGGATCGAGAAAAGAACAAGGAAAAGTCGAAGGATGATTTCGACACAAATCGACGATCTTTTAAGGGTCGGTCTTTGCCCTACGAAAGGGCCAAAGGATGTGGCAGAGGTTTTTAATTGGCGAACAAGTTTGCTACCGACAAGAGAACTGATCGTGGCTACAATAACCAATCATTACGCGATAAGGAAATATCAGGCTCCCCAAATTTGACATACCCTAGACTGTCCGGGTATAATTTCAATGTCAGCGTGGTGGAGCTGGTATTGACAATGAGGAACATTAAGGAAGCACGATTCTCAAGGCCAATGAGACTCGATCCCAATTAGAGGGATCCTTATCAATGGTGTAAGTATCATGGGACTAACGACCACCGAGCTGAGGACTGTCGACATCTGTGTAAGGAGGTGGCGACGTTGCTGAAAAATGGCCATCTCAAGAGTTCTTAAGTGATCAGGATAAAAATAACTATGGCTACAACCGAGATAACGCAAAACCCTCTAAGATAGGAGAAAATCATCTTCGACTAATGATCAACATGATTTTCGGGGGGAACGAGATTAATGGTGTAACTTTTTCAGTAGCAAAAAAGACAAAGGTATCGGTGACTCATAGCGAAAGACTTCGGAAAGTCGCCGAGGACGATATCAACTTCACAGAGGAGGACATTGATGGACTCCTACTACCGCACAATGATGTCGTAGTAATTTCTCTTAATGTTTTAGATTTTAAAATTAAACGTATTTTGGTGGACCAAGGAAGTTCAGCCAATATCATTCAATGGAGAATAATGGAGCAAGCCAGGCTAATAGGAAGCATCATTCTGACTACAAAGCTCCTCGTCGGGTTCAACTTACCGATGGGAGATCTTGCTGCCCACAAACATCGAAAGGGTCATGAAGACTACCTTGTTTGAAGAAGTAGATGGCGACATAGGCTACAATATTTTTCTTATCAGACCATGGCTATACGAGATGAAGGTTGTGCTATTAACATACCATCAACTTCTGAAATTATTGACTCTAGAGGGAATTAAATAAATAAGAGGAGATCAAACAGCGGCAAGAAAGATGAATGCGATCTCGGTTTCCAGTAGTAAAGGGAAGGAACATGCGGCATAGCAATTACAGGAATCGACGCCCGTTCCCGAACCAAACAAAGTCGATAGAGAGAAAAAGTCGTCAAAATATTATCAGGTACTAAGGTATTTTCAGGTACCGGAAGAAACGGACTCAACCAAATCCACAGTGGAAAAACTTGAACAAGTCGCATTGTTCGAGAAGTTCTTAGAGAGGAAGTCCCACTTGGGGACATGATTAAACCCCAAACTCAGGTTTGGATTTATAGAATTTCTTAAAGTTAAAGTTGATTGTTTTGCATGGTCGCATATGGATATGATAGATATTTCGCCAGAGGTGGACGTGCACAAGTTAAGCATGGACCCCAACATCTCTTCGGTGAGGCAAAAGAAGCACCCGATTGCTGATGTTAACAATAGGTTTGTCAAAGAAGAGGTAACTCGATTGCCTGATATCGTTTCAAATCCGGGAGGTAAAGTATCCCGACTGGCTAGCTAATGTAGTGGGAGTTCCAAAACAGAATAATAAGTTTCACATATGCGTAGATTATAAAGATCTAAATAAGGCGTGCCCAAAAGACTCGTTCTCATTGCCAAACATTGATCAAATAATCGATGCAACAGTCGAGCACGAGTTGATGAGTTACCTCTATGCTTATTCCGAGTTAAACCAAATCAAAATGAACTCGGAGGATTAGGAAAATACTTCGTTCATAATGAACTTTGCCACATATTGCTATAATGTGATGCCTTTCGGGCTTAAAACGTCGGAGCCACTTATTAGAGGCTCGTGCACAAAATGTTCAAAAAGGAAATATGGAAAACAATGGAAGTTTACATAGATGATATGTTGGTTAAGTTTTTGAACACATGTGACCATCTAAAACGCCTCCAAGAAACCTTTGACATCCTAACGAAATATAACATGAAGCTTAACCCCAAAAAATGTGCATTCGGAGTTAGCTTCGGTAAGTTTTTGGGTTTTCTGGTATCACGAAGGGGGATAGAAGTCAATCCCGATAAAATTAAAGCCATCGAGGACATTCCTAACCAACTGACAAATGTGAAGGAAGTCCAAAGGTTAACTGGAAGACTGGCTGCTCTAAGCAGGTTCATTCCCCGATCTTCAGAAAAATGCCATCATTTCTTCTCACTTCTGAAGAAGAAGAAGAAGAACTTCGAATGGACTTCAGAATGCCAACAATGCCTAAAAGACCTGAAAAGGTACTTATCAAGCCCTCCATTACTATAAAAACCAGAGGAAGGTGAACAATTGCTAATTTACTTAGCGGTCTCGGAAGTAGCGGTAAGTGTCGTTCTATTCCGAGAAGATGAAGGTGTGCAATCTCCTATCTATATGTTAGCAAAGTTTTAATAAAAGATGAAACTCGCTACCCGCACCTCGAAATATTAGCCTTAGCTATCGTAGTCGCCGAACGAAAGCTTGGGCCCTATTTTCAATGCCACCCGATAGCTGTGGTGATAACTTTTCCTCTGCAGAATATCCTTCACAAACCTGAATTTTCAAGTCGACTGGACAAGTGGGCAGTCAAAATGAGTGAATTTAAGATCGAGTATAAACCCAGGAATGGGATCAAATCA